ACGAGACTTCCATCGACAGTATGGAGGTAAATGTTTACATTTATATCGATACTGGTCATGACTTTGTCAATATCCCTTCCAATATAGGGTATAGTGAACTTATCAATCACTTTTTTGCCTCTCAATCTCATAACCCTTCACTTGTGGAGCATGTTTCTTTCCTTCTCCATTAGCTCTGTCGATTTATTCTTTGTGTTCTTAACTTTAAGGTAACTAAGAAATACGTTGGAGTAGCCATTCAATTGGCTAAAAGAAATAAGCTTCCCTTGGCCTTTTTGCTTTAGGGGCATTATAAAAAGGTCTTTTTAATATGACAAAAAATAGGATTATTGTCAATTATGAAGAACCTTTTTGGCCCTTCTATGTTTGGTTCTTTGTTTATTTTCCAAAGGTTTGACCCCTTGAGTCTTTGCTTAGGCCCAAGTATGAACCCTTGAACTATGCTCATCGATTTTTATCTTCCCCATGCTTATATACAGAGAAAATCTTTGATTCATAATTTAGAGCCTTTTTCACTCTCAGCAAAGATAGATCAGACTCTTTTTACACTCCTTTTTCTGAGTTTCTTTATTCTTGTTCCCTTCTTAAATCTTTATTTGCTGACCTAGATACGGCCTCTGAAGAGGCTAACGAATTCTAACATATTTTCTAGGCTACTGTCTTGCTACCTCATTACCTTCATGCGGGGAGCTTTGTATCTGCCTCAAAAACTTTCAACTATAGCTTTGAAAGTTATAATCCTAAAAGAGACAGAAAATAGTAAGATTCATGAAACTAGAGCCACACATTCTTTTGTAGAATAAAAAATTCGAAGGTAGAGTTTGAATTAAAGAAAATAAAATTATGCAAGATTTTAGGACCAAATGAGATTCCAATTAGGGTTTAGAAGTGTTTAGAGAATGATGGAGTGTCTTAGTTAACAAAATTATTCAATAGAATTATTGTCACTAGGAAAATACCCAATGAATGGAGAAAGTATATTTTAGTACCTATCTAAAAAAACAAAGAAGATATTCAAAATTGTAATAATTATAGAGGGATAACATTGATGAGTCATACAATGAAACTATAGGAAAAGGGTCATTGAATGTCGTCTAAGAGTTAAGACTATAGTGCTGGAAATCTGTTTGGGTTTATTCCTAGTAGATCAACTATAGAGGTTATATATTTATTAAGGAAACTCATAGAAAAGTATAAACAGAAGAAAAAAAATCTTCATATGGTATTTATAGATCTTGAAAAGGCATATGATAAAGTGTTTAAAAATATAATAGGGAGGGTGCTAGAGAGAAAAGGAGTGACAAATAGGTATATTGAGATGATAAATGACATGTATGACGGGACTATGACTACAATTAGGTCTTCCATGAGGGAAAGTAAAAAAATTTCAATTACAGTGGGATTACACCAAGGATCAGCCTTAAGTCCATACCTATTCGCCCTAATTATGTATGAACTCACTAAGCACATTTAAGATGATGTCCTACGGTGTGTTATTTCTAGATGATATTGTCTTAGTAGATGAAACTTGAAAGATGATTAACGATAAGCTAAAAATTTGGAGAGAGGCACTCGAGTCGAAAGGGTTTAAAATAAGTACGAGTAAAATTAAATACATGCAATCTAATTTTAGTAATAGAAGAAGTAAATATAATGAAAAAGTTAATATTGAAAATAAGAAATACCAACCAGTAAACTATTTCGATATTTAGGATCGATCATTAAAAATAATTGAGAGATTAGAGACGATGTAACTCAAAATCAACAATGGTTGACTTAAGTGGAGGAAAGCCTCTAGGATATTATAGGATAAAAGAATACCAATAAATTGAAAGGTGAGTTTTACCAAACAACTATAAAGACAAAAACTGTTGTAGGAAACAAAATGTTGGGCAACTAAGAAATAACATAGTGACAAAATAAGCGTAGCGAAAATGAGAATGTTAAAGTGAATGTGAGAAAAAACTAGAAATGATAGAATATGAAATAACCACATTAGAGAAATTGTAGGAGTAGTTCCAATTGAGAACAAGTTGAGAAATAATAGATTAAAATGATTTGATCATGTTCAACGGAGGCCGATAGAGGTATCAATTAGAAAAAGTGATAGAAACATTAAACAAAATAATAAGAAAAGATATAAAAAATATTTAACTTAAATGAGCTTGTAGCGCATAATCGAAATGAATGACAAAAACGTACTTATATAGCTGATCCCAAATGATTGGGATATAAGACTTGATTTGATTTGGTATAAGATCCATTAGGCTTACAAACAAAAAATATTATGATTTGTCGGGAGTTGTGATTACGCCTAATTTAACAAGGTTGTCTACGTCTCAGAAAGGAAATCAAGTTAGTTATATATTTTGAATTTTGGAAATTTAATTGGACCTGATTTGAAATTGCGACCGCAGCTAATGTAAATTGGACCTGCCTACATATTCTACAATAGAATTAAGTCGGATGACAGTTTGAAAAAAAAGAATTTAAAAATTTATTTTAAGTGGTGATTATGCACAATATACATGTTGGACTGTTTACGTATCCAAAAAGAAATCAAGTCACACGTAATTCGAAATAAATAATTTTTGAATTTGAATTGGTGTTAAATGAGTTAACGACTCATTTGATTTGAAATGATTGAATGACCCACTTGATTTAAAATGAAAATTTATTTATAAGTGACCAATTTTTTTGGCATTCGACTTAAAATTTGACCAAATTAAATTTTCAGATTCAATTTACTCATGATGAAGATGGAATTAAATTCCAGCAAGGTTAGTGACCTAGTGTGAGTTAGAAACCCCAAAATTTATTAGGAATTTAAAACTGCATATCTATTCTCAAGATATAATAAAATTTCTTAATTATGCATATGTATTGCACTTACGAATATAGTATTAGAGATGATATGATAGGATTTATATAGATCCATCAATATCTTCTATTGGGATACAATGATGATAGGCTAAGTTATTATATTTATCTTGTTTATTTCTCACCCTATAAATAGAGTTGAGCCTTATATATACAATTATCTTTAATAGTACATCATACGTAGCTCATAGGGCATTAGGTCCGTGGATGTAAGCAATTTATCGAATCTTGTTAATTCTCTGTATCTTATTTTCCTTTATGTAGTTATGTCAAATATCTCTCTTATTATAAACTTCTTCATGGGATCTGAACGGATCGATCGGACCTCAAATTTGATTCCGCTTTGTCAACTCTATTAATGTAGCAAGGTTTTAATTTTTTTTTTTTAACATCAAATTTTTCTACCTTGTTCCAACCAGCAGAGTATTTTTCTTAGAGTTGGGGGTGGGATCTTAGCCTCTCACAACACCAAGCTTCTTTTACTTGAACCATTGGCTGTCAGATTCTCTTGATGACTTCTTCCACCTGTGAAAGCCTTTATCTCCTTCCCAATGGATTCTAATTGTGGGAAAATCAAGGCTTGATATTAGACATCATCAGCCTCATCCAAATCTATCGGTATAAAGGGCAACTAATTCATCGTTGGATTGAAGAAGAAATTATGGAGAGAGATACACAGAGAGAAACGAAAAAGTAATAAGAGATAATGAGATGCGAGTATCTTTTTCAAAACTTATTTGGCTTTAAGTATCACATTCAAACTTATCCTCCTTTAAGTCCTTTTTTTTCATCAAATAGTTGTCAATAAATACACATTTTAAAACATTTTCAAATTCTTTCTAAAATGTATTCTATAATTACCCTTACCATAAATAGTGCATACCTAATTGACAACTTTTATATCTAAATATTAGAATGTGATACTTTCTAATATTTACTATATATGTGTGTGTGTGTGTATATATATATATATATACACACACACACATATACAGTAATATCAAGCAGTAACACGTTCAACAAATAAATAATAATATCAAACAGTAACATGCTCAACAAAAAAATAGTAATATCAAACAATAGTTTAGTTGTCACTATTTATTTATATTATTTGGGCACTATCAAGGGGATATTACGTGATGTCATTGATTGAACCCCCATTGTTATTATCTCGTGTGTTTCTTTGGTGACACTGTTTTCATGACAATTTTCGAGTTCCTCTTTGGGTGCAATTTTTTGAGTGGACAAATATATATTGTCATCATTTATAGTCAATCTATTATTGTCACTCTTTACTGACACTACTTGGGCACTATTAAGGGGGTATTACATAATGTCATTGATTGGACCTCATTGTCAATATCTCGTGTCTCTCTTTGGTGACACTGTTTGCATGATAATTTTTTAAATCCCTCTTTTGGTGCAACTCTTTGACTAGACAAATATATATTATTATTATTTAAGCTTAATTTATTGTTGTCACTTTTTAATGACACTACTTGGGCACTATCAAGGGGACATTACATGATGTTATTGATTGGACCCCATTGTCATTATCTCGTGTCTCTCTTTAGTGATACTATTTACATGACAATTTTTTGAGTCTCTCTTTAGGTGCAATTCTTTGAGTGGACAAATATATATTGTTATCATTTATGGTCAATCTATTATTGTCACTTTTTACTGACACTACTTGGGCATTATCAAACGAGAATTACATGATGTCATTGATTGGACTCTCATTGTTATTATCTCGTGTCCCTCTTTGGTGACATTGTTTGCATGACAATTTTTCGAGTCTCTCTTTAAGTACAACTCTTTGAGTGGATAAATATATATATATGAAATTTCAAAATTCAAATGAAACACAAATATTAAAAAGAATCTTGAAATTCTCACCTTCTAATCTTGAAAATCTCACATTCAATTAAGTATGCACTATTTATGATAAGGGTAAAAGGACATTTATGACTTTTTTTTAATAGATATACTTCTATCTCAATAATTTTAAAAAGTATATTTTTATCTTATTAAGTTTTGAGGGAGGCACCGACCTCCCTAAGCCCTAAGAAAAAAAAATATATATTTATTTTATGTAGGTTTAATAATTTTATACACATTCACACTGACCTACTATTCGAGGGGAGTTTCATCACCAAGAACCGCATCGTCGACAACTTCACCAAATCCGAATTTTCGGCCACTGTCTTGGTATCTACACTGTTGTAGTCCCGATAAATATTGATCAAATCAGATGTAGCTGTTTCCCATGGAATCGAAGAGTAGACTGTTGCAATCCCATCTACCACCCATGTTTGAGTTCAAGATAGACACTTCAACTTTTTAGTGTACCAACTTGAGGGGAGTATTAGAGATAATATGATAGGATTTATATAGAAGATCCATCAATATCTTCTATTGGGATACGACGGGGATAGGTTAAGTGATTATATTTATTTTGTTTATTTCTCACCTTATAAATAGAGTTGAGCCTTATGTATACAATTACCTTTAATGATACATCAGATGTAACCAATAGGGCGTTAATGTTGGGATTTAACAACAATTTAAATCTACTAACAAACAAACACAATCGAAGAACAAATCAAGAATATAAAGCAATAAGAAACAAGAAAGAACAAAACACAGATTTTACGTGGTTCGACAATTTGCCTACATCCACGAATTTGCAAGGATTTCACTATTGAGAGAATTGAATACAGAGAGTGGCTATACAATCCACCATATTAACCCTAATCACCAAAACAACGGATTTTATATGTTCTACGCACTGGGCTATATAACGGGCCCAAAAATTCCCAAAGCCGTAGCGCTCATGGACTAAGCCTCATAAATTTTCCATTAAAAAATCACACAACATTACTTCGGGTCGGGTCATCATCCGGATCACATATACAAACTAGACTCCACAAAAAATCAACAGTTAAGTCCATGGATGTAGGCAATTTGCCAAATCAAGTTACTTCTATGTGTCTTTTGGTTCAACAAGTATCAATTACTTTATGAAAATGTGCAATTCAAATGGTTTCTTTTAGTCTAAGAGATATCACAAGTGACTTTATGAAAAGTTTTGACCATTTATGATGGTGTCATGTAACTAAAAAGTGTAAATGATGGCTTTATGAAAATATGTAATCATTTGGATTAGTGTTTTTAGCCAAAAGTTATTAACTTTGAATTGATAGTCATGTTATTTTTATTTTACACCTTTCCAATTTCTCCCAAAAGTCGCAAAGAATTTTTAAAAAAAAAACCATCCAAAAAAGTGTCTACATTTGAAAATAGTTTAACATGGTGTCTCTCATTATTGGAGCACTACAATCTTTTTTGCGTCCATTAAAAGACGTGATTATGTCAGTTTTTTAAGTTCTAATAATATTATTCTTTTTTATTAGTAGATCTCTTATCAAAGTCCTATAGTTAATTCATTCCATAATCAACCATATTACATTCCATGAAAATGTTGAAAATTATTCTTTGGCAGTATATAATATACAAGTTTTATGATGAGTTGACTGAAAATCGTTTTTTGATATTATAATAATTTCAGAATACTTATACAATGAATCAATTAAATAGTTAATATAATCTTTGAAAATTCAAACCATGGACTAGGAATAGGATCTTGCTTTAATCAGCCTTTTCTCCATCATATTGGGTCCAATTGGAATGCACGAAAGGAGAATAAAGGAGCATAGAGTATGTAAAAAAAAAATGATTTGGAGAAAAAGCAAAAGGCAAAGCAATATCCCTGGTTCTTTCTTAGCAACTGACAAATGTGTTAAAAAGATTTACATTATGAACAAGGATAACAAAAATAGAGAGTCAATAAGATTAGGGTGACTGATAATATATATACGAGGAAGGTAATTTTAGGGTTCGTTATTAGACGAACGCTAAATGGAGTACATTGTTGCTCGATACATTTAGAATAACTACTACCTTAAAACTATAAAAGTGTCTTCATTTCCATAAAATAAAAAAATCTTCATGTCCCATCAAATTGCTATTAAAGCGATTAAATTCTACCTTGCATAATTTGTGCCATATTAGTTCCAGATTACATCAATCACTTTTATTTCATTTTTATCATTTATCAGGAAAACAATAATTATACTATTTTCTCACAATTGCTTAATGAGTTTTGATTTGCCTATAAGATTGTAAAAAGATCCACATTTTTGAACAAGCATCGTACTAATGAAATAGATCATACTTCACATTATGTTTACGAGTTTCATGATTTTTTTATATGATGGCATTTAACCAAAAGTGTATTCCTAATAAAAAAAATGATAGAACTTAATAGGATTTTTTATTTCGAAATGTTTACCTTATAGATAATATCCTCTGCGGAATATCCGTGCATACGATAAAACAAAGTTTAAAATGCAAACAAAGGTAAAGCAAATAACTTTTTCTACTTTTTCGAAAATTTTCTTGTCACATTCTCAATTATTTATAAAAAGATGGTGGTGGTGGGGTAGAGAAAAGGGAAGGGTACTAACGGATTGTGTAAAAGGAAAGGTGTTCTTTCTTATGTCTGTGTCCTTAAAACTTGCTTTGAATCTCATGCCTTGCCTGCAAGAATGTTGGGTTTGTGTCTTATGCACAGCCTTTTCCGAGTCTACACCAGACAGCAATTTTAAAGCGGTAGGAATGTTCCCAATGCCTAGTCTTTGCTTTTGAATTTCTTTTTTATTTTTTAATTAGGTTTGAGAAGGAAAGGGAAAAAACATTCAACCACAAGGAGGGGACCCAAAAACAGAAAGCACTGTTAGCTTATGCAAGGTCCAATTCATTCCTGAAATGGGGTAAAATAGACAATATTAATATTAATATTAAGGGATATTAAAAAAAAAACTATGTACAAGTAAATGATATAAAATGGAATTTTTGACATGGGGATAGGGAATTAAATGAACAATTACCAGAAATTCAATGGTTGAAAATCCAATGTTTAAAATAGTTCATGCACTAGGCGTGGTGATGAGACTGAACTTGTTGAGTTTGAGTATTTTTAGATTCAATTCAATTGAAACTAGGCTCGATTACTAAGTTTAGATTATTATTTAAGTGTGACTCAGTAGAAGCTTGTGAGCATTCAAGTTGAACTCAAAATCAAACCCTTTTTTATGCCTTTCTAGCAACACATTTGGCATCGCCCTAACTGTAAAATCAACAATATAAGTTCAAATTTTTCAAAATTTTATAATATATATATTGTAGGGGGGAGGACTGGAGAGGGGGGCGGGGGGGGGGGGGGGGGAGAGAGAGAGAGAGAGAGATTGATTTATATGGTCTAGAACTATTTGTCAAAAAGTTTGAGTTTGGAAACCAATTCAGTTCTGCCAATGTGCACGAAAGCACCCCTTTATTTAACGCAGTTTGGAGTTGGCATATCAAGTATTATTTTCTCATATTGTGGCCTATGCCATTGATAGTGGAAGTGGAGGATCATATGTACCTTGAGGCATTAATGAGTCAAGGGAGGATCACAAGGTGAAGTGGGCATGTCTTGAAGCCACCTACTGACATTAAATTTTAAGTATAAAAAACCTGGTGAGGACATTCTGTTGGGGCATTTTTAGAAGCCAAGTCCCGAGGAGGGAGCATGGGCACGTCCTTTTAATTTGTGATACGGATAGGTACTTAGTCACATATCACTTAATATCAATGTTCACTGCTCTACCTTGCTCAAGGTATATTTTTCTGCCCTTGTCTCAAATCAATGGGAAATGTGGAAAGCAGTACAACCATTAATTTCGACCTGGAGCAATTTCAAGTGCTCCCTTACACAAGTGACATTCGTTGCGGGTTCGAGTATGGGAATCAATCCCTTCAAAGGTCGGGTAACTTTGTCTATCACTTACCATTCTCACATTCTGCTCTATGTGAGAGTCTTCTTTCTTGAGAACGAATTTGTTAGTCTAAATACAGCCCTGCATGGTTTAATATAGTGCTTTTGCTTCCACTTTCATCCATATAAAATTAGAAGTATGTAAATTATAATAGCACCATATAATTTTTTTTTTGTCCCTCTTTTTTTTCTCATATTTTTTGTCAGTCTAGCATTATCCGTTATTAGAATATTAAAAATGGTTTGGTTTTACTTGATAAGGCTGACCAAAACATTATTAACAAGTTGATTAATCAAAACTTCTTAAAATTGTTGAGCAACTTTTGAATCTATGGGAAAGAGGGAAGCAAAAACAAACAAAATCATGTGACTTAAAATGATTGTATGACAGCTTTCAAGATCTTGATAATAACTGCAAGGAAAGCTTAGGCTATACTCAGGAACAAAGTCCAAGGAAAAAAAAGTTAAGAGCTGCTATACCTGTAGAAGTATGAAGGAGAGAGACCTAGGGAAAGTCAGCACAATGAGTATGAAGTTAAGAAGCATGGATGATAGTCACATGGTGGAAATCACTGTTGTGCTGCTGGATTTCATTTCTGGTGCAGAAAACACATTGTTGAGTGATGGCCAAACAAAGGGTTTTGTTGCTTTTGAATAAGCAATGGTGGCGGACGGTAAAGAGTAAGAAGGAAACTTTCCTTTATCCCGTTCGTAGTAACAGAAGACTCATTGACAATCTTTTACATTTAGTCTGATTAGACATGAGTAAGCCCAAAGCATCCTGGAGTCATATTAAATGACATTATTATCCTTAACAAAATATTCATTTCTTTGTCGTATAGACTTATTACCTAGTTTGACCTTAATAATAGTTAAAATAACTCTTATTTTGTTTTATACATACACATACATCTATATAATAAAATAACTTACAATTTAAATTTGAAAAGATAAACAAAATGACTTTTGCTTTACGCGGTTCAAATCGCTTTAACTTTTACTTTAAATTTAATTTAACGGTTAATATTAACACCCTAAATTTAATAGAAAAAATAGGCTCACAAGAGTGTGTTTGTTATAACTTTTTAAAATTATTTCTCATAAGTATTTCTCATAGCTGCCACCACCACTGTCATCATCGTCGCCACCACCATTGTCGTCACCGCCATCACCACTACCGTCGTCGTCACCACCACCACTGCCATCATCGCCGCCATTATTGCCGTCGCCGCCACCACCACCACTACCACCGTCATTAACATCGTCGTCACCACCACTGCCGCCACCACTGCTATCGTCGTCGTCGTCACCACCACCACCACCACTACCGCCACCATTGTCATTGCCACACTCTACAATCATCACCGTCTTCTACAACTACTACTGCTGCTCACCATCTCTCACCCCCACTACAACCGATA